TAGTAGCCTCCCTATAGACAAACAACCAATCAGAAGAAGTGGAAATTAAAAAACCACCCCCTTTACAATTGAAACAGAAAAAAGAAATCAACTACTTGTGAATAAACCTAACAAAAGAGGTAAAATACCTACACAAACAAAATCATAAAATACTGTTAATAGAAATACAAGAAGACGCAAAGAAATGGAAAGACATCCCCTGCTCATGGTTTGAGAGAATTAACATCATTAAAATGGGCATTCTACCAAAAGTGATATACAGATTTAACACTATTCCAATAAAAATCTCAATGACATTCTTCAAAGAAATAGAACAAATATTGATGAGATTTATATATGGAACCACAAAAAACCTCGAATAGCCAGAACTCTCCTGACTAAAACGAAAGAGACCAGAAGCATCACAATCCCAGACTTCAAGCTATACTACAAAGCCATAACAATCAAAACTGGATGGTACTGCAACAAGATAGACATACAGACCAGTGGATTAGAATTAAAAACTCAGATATAAACCCACAGGTTTAATCTTTGAAAAAGGAGCAAAGAATATGCTATGGAACAAATTAAGTTTGTTCAACAAATGGTGCTGGGAAAACTGGGTTGCTATGTGCAAAAAAAAAAAAAAAAAATGAAGCTAGATTACTACCTCACAACATGCACAAAAACCAACTCAAAATGGATTAAAGAACTAGACATAAGACCTGAAAACATAAAAAATCTAGAAGAAAAGGTGGGCAAAGCACTACACGACATACACCTCAATAGCATTTGTAATGATACATCACCCAAAGCAAGGATAGTGAAGAAAAGGTTAAACATCTGGGACTACACCATGTTAGAGAGCTTCTGTACAGCAAAAGAGACACAAAACAAAGAGACACCCACTGATTGGGAGAAAAATTTTGCACACAATAATAATGACAAAGGGCTGATCACAAAGATATACAAAGAGCTGATGAAGCTCAACAAAAATAAAGTGAACAATCCCATCAAAAAATGGGCAGAAGAGCTAAAATGACACTTCTCCAAAGAGGAAATGTAGATGGCCAACAGGCATATGAAATGATGTTCAACATCACTTGTAATAAGAGAAATGCAAATTAAAACCACAATGAGATATCATCTCACATCAGTGAGAACGGCACATATTAAAACAACTAGCAACAACAAATGTTGGCGAGGTTTTGGAGGAAGAGGAACTCTCCTACACTGATGGTAGAATGCAAACTGGTACAATCACTGTGCAAAGCTGTGTGGAGGCTTCTCAAACTGCTAAAAATGGAGCTTCCATATAACCCAGCAATCCCACTTTTAGATATCTACCCAAAGGACACAAAAACATTGATTGAAAAGGACACCTGCAGCCCTATGTTTATTGCTGCTCTATATATAATAGGGAAGATGTGGAATCAACACAAATGCCGAAAAGTAGATTACTGAATAAAAAATATGTGGTACATATACACAATGGAAGATTACTCAGCAATCACAAAGGTAAACTCATGCCTTTTGCAGCAACATGGATGGAGCTGGAAGGGATCATGTTTAGTGAAATAAGGAAGAAAGAAAAAGAAAAATACCAAATGGTTTAACTCACAGCAGTTGAGTAACAGATAGGAGTGGGAGGGGGGCAGAGGGGAGAAAAGCAATTGCAATAAAGTAAAAATGAAAACAATGAGAAACTATATACCAGGGACATTTTACAGGGGGTGGAGAGGGGAATGGGATAAAAACTGGAGTAGGAAGAGTGCAGGGACTGTGGTGATGGCACTCGGGTGTATTGGTGGTGGGAAGTCCACGGGGATTACAACTAAGATGAAGAAATGCACAAAATGAAGAATGATGTAAAAAAATAAATAATAAAAATAAATTTTTAAAAAAGTTGATTAAAAAAAATCAATAAGATTGGTAAGTTTCTAACCAAGATGATCAAAGAGTAAAAAAAGTGTACAATATTATTAATATTAAAAATTCCATGAATGTTGAAAGGATATTAATGACATATTTTGAACAATTCTATGCTCACAAATTAACTTTGAGGAATTGAACAAATTCTTTGGATTGATTTTAATCAACAGGATTATGGCAAAAGTATTTGATGTTATTCTGAGTTTACAGATTTACAAGTCCTTATTCTGGGCTTAAGGCACTATGTCATACTTCTTGGGTACTCTCTGGCTCTCTCACAAGATACCATATTGTGGGGAGACTCAGGATGCCCTCGTGAAAAACAATGAAAGCCTCACAGCTACCACATGAGTGAGTGTGGAAGTGGGTCTTGTGAAGCCACCAACAGCCATGTAAAGAGCTTGGAAGTGGAATTTCTATCCCACTTGAGCTTAGAAATGAGACTGCAACCCCAGATGACATGGTAGATTGAATGTGACTTCATAGACACTGAGCAAGAGGCAACCAGCTAAGCCAGACATAGATGACTGAGCCACAATAACTGTTATCATAAGTGTTTGCTGTTTTAAACTGCTAAATTTTGGGACAGTTTGCTGCACACCATAGATAAACACTCCATACACTTTTACCCCAAAATTCTACTTCAATGTACATACACCAGAGCAGTTTTTGCCAACACTTTTCACATCAAATCATACATTAAAAATGTTAAAATTCTAGGCCCTCCCTGGTGGCACAATGGGTTAAAGCACAACACATGAAGCTATCAGAAGCCACTCAGCATGAGCTTGATCCCGAGCTAGGGAGGTGACCCACATGGCAGGGCAGACCTCTCCTGACCCGTCTGCTGCTCCCCTCAGCAGTGTGTTTCAGTAGATCTGCCTGTTTTGCTTTCCACTCTGTCTCTGTTGAATCCTCTCACCCCCTGCACCTCTACCCTGGACCCCAATTCTGTATTAATAAATAAATATTTTTTAAAAGTTATAGTTTTATGAGTTCAGTAGGGTGAACAATTTCCACAGCAACAAATAGGTGATACCATGCCCATCTTCCTGGATATTGAATACTGAATGAATATATCCGAAGGCAGGGTCAATATATCAGAGATTACAGTCTGTAGATGGGGCACTCTGCCCAAGAAGTACCCTTCCAAATGGACACAATGAACCATGCACTGCCATAGTCACTGACTCTTCACTTATGCTTGAACAAAAGAGAAAACAACCCAAGCCCATCAGCAGGGAAGGAGAGGAGGAAACTGAGTACTTCATGCAACAGAAGTCCATACAATCATGTTATAGTAATATATTGCAAAGTTGATACCATAGTATTTCCCAGATAAAATATATGACCTAGATTTAAGTGTGTCACAATCATTAAATTTTCAAAGAAATAATTGAGCAAAAATTTGAGTAGCAAAAGGATGTATTTTTGCCACTTAAATATTATAATACTATGTACATAATTCAGACTACAGAAAACAATATTGTTTATCAGACGTGGACAAAAGGAAACATCAACTTCTAAACATCAATTCTTTGGGGAAAACAAGACAAATAGGATAGAGTGAGGGTTTCAAGGGTAATATTTTGTTTCAAGATCAGAGGAATCTCAAACTTCTTCTGTTTGGAAGTATATCCAAACATATTTTACACTATAATTTTTAGTATGTTTGAAATATTGGAAAATATTTTTATGAAAAATGCATTCTCTTTTGAATACAAAAAAAGTTAGATCAGGCTTATTACTGTGTTGTTAAATCCCTTTATATGCTTATTTATTTTTCAGTCTGCTTGATCTTTCCATGCCATAAAAAGTGTCATTAAGCACCACCCCCGATGAAGGCACACTCTTCCAACCTCTCTTTATAGTCCTAACAAGATTTGCTTCATCAATTTGGAAACTACACTTTTTGGCTTAGCAATTTTGGTGTTGCTATTGTTTCAATTAATCAACTTGTTTTGTTCTATTTAATGTTTTTTACCCCGAGTTCTTGATTTTTCTGATATTAACACTGCTGAAAAGCTACATCATGCTCTTCTTTTAATTTCTGCTGCACCCCCCACCCCCGCCTTTCTTCCCTTTCTGCTTGCCTTTATTTAACTGGAATATAGTTTCCATTACTTTAGGTGAAACTCATCCATAGTATATACTGGCTTTCTAAAAACGAAATGCTCAAAATGAGAGTTTGCTTTTTTTATATAGGTGATGTCAATTCAAAATACATACTGTTATATTTGGATTCCTTCTTGCCCTTTGCTTTGTAAAATTCTTTCTTCTTTCCTCCTACTCCATTTCTGCCCTTTGCTAGATTGATTTTTTTTCCTTGTTCTACATATTTTTTAGTGGTTTGAAAGTGATACATTCTATTTCTTATCTGTTGTTCCCCCTAAAATTTCTGGTTCTCCTAATATGCCTTTTATTTCCAATAAGAACAAAAGTTCACTGTTATTGTAAATGCAAGAAGTGTACATTTGATGCAAATATCAGAGATACATTATAAAGAGCAATTTTAAAAAAGGGTTCAGAGTTCAGTGTAACTGCATACATCCAAAAGACATAGGTATAATATTTTAAAACCAGAATGTGAACCTGCCTTGTGCTCCATGATCCATCATTTCTTTTGAACAGAAAAGCTTGGTTTTGTGATCAACGGCAACAGATTCTACAGTAAACAGTTCAATTTGCTTCAAAGAAAACCCAATTTTACTGTAACCCTAAATATAGTTTCACATTGTCCACACTTCTAATACAAGCTGTAACATCTAACTTAGGATATGATCTATTCCTATAGTTACTTTCATACTGGAACTGATCAGAAAGAATCAGCAGATTTCCTTTTATCAAAAAAAAAAACAAGAGAACCCAAAACCAGAAGGGAAGACGGCTAGAGGTTTCAACATTTGTTAAAGCTGGCTGTTGGTTACATTTTTTGCTGTCCTTTTCAGTATCCTTGATGATTTCGTCATTTAGCATGAAATAATGTCTTTGAGCCCACCCTGATTTGTCGAGCGCCGTTGCCGCCCCCACCACATCCAGGGGGCGGGGCCCAGCGACGCCACAATCACTTCCGCCGCCCTAGCCCGCCTCGCTGATGTCTGGCGGGGGAGGAGCTGGAGGCCGGCGAGCAGCGGCTCCGCGGTCCTGGCGCTTGGAAGTCCGAGAGCTCTGCTCCTTCGGAGAGCGTGCGGGCGTCTTCCTCGGGTGAGTGAGCGGCCGTGGACCGCCTCGATTCGGTCCGATGTGGCGGGGGGCCGAGTGGCCCGGCGTGGGCGCCGGTGGCCGGGCGCGGGGGCGACGGTTTGGGGCCGGGGGGTCTCAGCGAACGGATGTTTCAGGCTCGCCCCTCGGGAAGGGGTGGGGCGGACGCGGGACCTGACTGCGGTGTGAGGCTTGTGCCCCGCTGCGGCCGGTTCTTGGGCCCCATCCTCCATTCGCCGTCTCTTTTCGGGTGCCTGCCCTGGTCCCCCAGGGTTTCCATCGCTATCTGGGATGGAAGTGGTGATCACGGCCCTCTCCCACCTCCGTCTGCCCCTCCTCCCTCCTTCCCCCTTGGTCTCTCTGCGGAGCACCAGTGGCTTTTCTTCCCCCATTTTGCCGCTGTCTTGCTGAAAGGTGAATTGTTAGCATTCTTTTGGTAAATATTGTTTTCAGGGAAAGAATTTTCTGAAAAACAGATTAGTCCCTGGGAATACCTGAACCACACGCCCCTTCCTTCCACTGCCCCCCACCCTGTGCCATCCTTTTGATCTGACCTGTCCATGGAGCTGATAATGTTCTCATGTCTCATGGTGTGACATTGTGGCCCCTCCCTGCCCCCTTGTCGCTCATGTGTACTGGGACTCACAAACACGAGCACAGGCATATAGTCACCGAACCCAGGCGCCACACACAGAAACCTTGCACTGCAGTACCCACCCCCACCCAAATACTCAACATTCTGGTCTCCCTTCCCAGCGAGTGCTTGCATGTGGACAGGCACACACACCCTCTCACACAGTCACACCCTCCGGTGCCTTTCCCTAGACTTGCACAGTGCCACGCACCAGCACCATCCAGTGCCTTTCCCTGCCTCTCACTGCCTGCCACACACACACCTCCAGAAGCTCCCTTTTGCCTCTGTGCTCTGATGTGTACACACAATACACGTCTAAGGACATCCTTGGGTTGCTGGCTATTTCATACTTGACTTACTTATATCTCACCCACACACCCTCTCAAGTGCTCCAAGCTCCTGCTCCCTGTCTGCCACATATGTGTATAGACAGCCCTCCTTTCTGGCACCTGCCCTGCACATACGGACACTCACATAAATCCTTTTGGGGGATGCCTCCCCCCTCCTGCTAGCCACATTTGCCCATGCAGACATCCTTTGATTGCTGGCCCCCTGATCCTTCCACAAGAAGGACACCCCTCTCCAGTTTTGTTCAGCAGTGTCACTTGCCACTCGGATGAACACACACTCAAGAACTACTGGACACCCCTGTCTGGCGCCACCATACCCATCCATGCCTGTCACAAACATAAACATGGGCACCCCACAGATTCCAGCTGTCCCTTCCACGCTGTACTCTCATACTTGCACATCCCCTTCTCCTCTGAAGCCACCCCTCCCAGGCTTCTCATTTCATACTCACACCCAGAGTAGGTCTCAGTCTGTCCGACAGTCACATCTCTTCCCAATGGTGCCTGGCCCTTCCCCTGCACACGCGGACAGCTCTCCATGGCATGACCATTGCTCCCCCTCCACCTGCCCCTCTCCTCCAAACCTACATGTAGGCACTCATGTACATGATCTCTTCCACTCTGTTCCAATTTTCATTTTTTCCTGCATGTCTGTAGGGCTCAGAAAAAATGTAGAAACCCTATTTAAAAAAAAAGCATGGTGTTCTTTCCTCTTCCCACATTGGCACAGTTCCACAGTACTTCACCTACCTGCCAAGTGTCCAGTTACCCCCTCCTTCTGTCAGACTCTCTCCAAAATCTGGCGTTCCTACCTCAGCTTTGTGATCCTTTTGCCAATATTGAAAATGTTTCTACCTGACAGCCACTGGTATGCTACCCCAGGGCTTAGAAGAAAGTAAAACTGAATTTAAATGCCCCTTACTCTGTTACCTGCCTGCAGGAAAAATAAGTCTCCTTGCTCTTTCTGAACCAATTTGACTCCCTTCCCCAGAGTATGCAGGGGGCTGGAGCCTTTCCACTTGAACCCCAGCTGTATTGGAAAGTTATCTCCTAAGTTAGAGCAGCGGGTCAGGAATCTAGCAAGCTTGTATGGGCCAAGCCAGCAGGAGGGCTTCAGGTGGCAGCGATATGTCACAGGCAGTGTGTATAGTATACTTATGTCGGTTTCAGGCCATCCACGAGCCAGCAGGAAGGGATTTACCGGCAGAGAAATAACAACATCCGAAGTCCCAATGCACAGATCAGCCCCCAGCCAAACCACCAAGAGGAGCCGATCGCCATTTTCCAGCACACGTCGGATTTGGGATGACAGTGTGAGCTCGGGGGCCAGCCTCAATGTTGATGATGAGGACTATTCCAGGTACCCGCCAAGAGAGTATAGGGCTTCGGGGAGCAGAAGAGGAATGGCTTATGGACATGCCGACTGTTTTGGGGCAGATGATAGTGAGGAGGAGGGGGCTGGGCCTGCTGAGCGAGCGCCAGTAAGAGGGAAAACTGGCAAGTTTAAAGATGATAAGCTGCGTGATGCAGAGAAAGGGGCAAGGTCTTTGGCCGGAGTGCCTGCGCAGTTCTCCGGTTTTAACCGTGATGTGAGAGAGGAGTTTGACAAGCTAGAGCCAGTCGCTGCGGCCAGGTGCTCTGCTAGCAGAGCTGAGTGCCTGCAGCAAAGTAGCATGGCCTCTCAGAAGCCTGCTGAAGGCCAGGCGGCTACAAATGGTGACCACCTGGAGAGGGAGAGACGGGAGCAGAATTTACCTGTGTGTCCCAGCAGGGCTCCTGTGAGTATCTGTGGTGGTGGGGAAAACACCCCAAAGAGTGCAGAGGAACCGGTGGTGAGGCCCAAAATTAGAAATCTGGCCAGTCCCAACTGCGTGAAACCAAAAATATTTTTTGATACTGATGATGATGATGATATGCCACACAGTACTTCCAGGTGGAGGGATACTGCCAGTGCTGATGATGGCCACTCAGAAGGCCTGGCAAGAAGAGGCAGAGGTGAAAGTGCAAGTGGCTACTGTGAGCCGAAGTACCCGGAAGACAAGAGGGACGCCAGGAGCGACCAAGTGAAGCCAGAAAAGGTGCCGAGACGGAGGCGAACCATGGCTGACTCCGACTTCTGGACCTACAGTGATGATTACTACAAATACTGTGATGAAGACTCTGACAGCGATAAGGAGTGGACCGCTGCGCTGCGTCGTAAGTATAGAGGTCGGGAGCAAGCTCTGTCCGCCAGTGGTGAAAATTGGGAGACCCTGCTGGCAAAAGAAGAGCTGGAAACTGAGCAAGCCAGAGCGAAAGTCAGTGCCGGTACCAATGCCGGTGCCACTGCCAGTGCCAGCGGCCTTGGCGACAAAGACCTGGGAGAAGCTTGCGGACCATCTCTTCAGGAGGAAGTGCAGACGTCCCCGGCAGGAGGCGAAGCCCCTTGGCACCAGTACACTGAAAACGAGAGCAGCAGCGAGGGTGGCAATGATTCGGGCCAGGAGTTTCTGCAGCCTGGGGCGTTCATGCTGGATGGAAACAACAACCTGGAAGACGACTCCAGTGTGAGTGAAGATCTCGAAGTGGATTGGAGCCTCTTTGATGGGTTCGCCGATGGGCTCGGCGTGGCCGAAGCCATCTCCTATGTGGATCCTCAGTTCCTCACGTACATGGCACTCGAAGAACGCCTGGCCCAGGCCATGGAGACTGCCCTTGCGCACTTGGAGTCTCTGGCCGTAGACGTGGAAGTGGCCAATCCGCCGGCGAGCAAGGAGAGCATCGACACTCTCCCCGAGATCCTGGTCACCGAAGACCACAGCGCAGTGGGGCAGGAAATGTGCTGCCCGATCTGTTGCAGTGAATATGTGAAGGGGGAGGTGGCCACCGAGCTGCCCTGCCACCACTACTTCCACAAGCCATGCGTGTCCATCTGGCTTCAGAAGTCAGGCACCTGCCCCGTGTGCCGCTGCATGTTCCCGCCCCCGCTGTGAGACCGAGGCGCTTTACTCTTGGTCTGATGGTTTTCCCCATCTGAAATCCACTATACTGCAGGAGCCCTCGCACAATTAACAGTTAAATTGAAACCATTAAAATGAAACCAATCGGTCGATTAATCTTCACCTGTTGATTCTTCGTGATTTTTTTCCTCCAATGTGAAAATGGTCATGTACGATTCATTAAAAATCATACTGCCTTTTAGAGGTTAGAAAGGGAACACCAGACTTTCTAAATGCTACTTGAGATTGCAGTAAGAACTTAATTTTCTAACCCGAAAATTGAAATCAATGGTTGTTTTCTTCAGTAGAATATGTTGCTGTTGATTGTCATGTCAAGTTAATCTGTTAATGATGTCCAAGAGGCATTGTTTTGTTGCATGTTATGGGTTAATGTTCCTGTAATTGGAGTGCCCGTAAAAGCCTATTAAAGTTCTTCTTTTGGTTTACCGGGTATGGTGGAATTGCTTGGCTTTGCCTACAACCCAAGGCGGTGGGGCTTAGTGACTTTCTTATTGATCCCTTGCACCTGCATTCAGAATAGGTTTTGTTGGCATTCATGGAGTGGAAAAGACTCTCGTTTCGCTGGAAATGCAGACTCAGCAGCAAAAACGAAGGATAATTCTTTCTGAAAGGAGTGAAGTATATGACTACGAGGGGGGCAATGGAGTTGATACTGTCAGCCTAGGGAAACAAAAGAGCCAACAGAAACGCATGGTGAAGCCGGGGCACACGGGCGGGAATAAATCCAAACTGAGTGTAGGCGTGGAGTGAGCACCACCTTCCAGAAATACAAATCTCAGAGGGAATGGGTACAGAAAAAATGAGCTGCTTGCTTATTACATACCTTAAACAGTGACACAGGAATGGAAAGGTGCTGCTGGACCAGTGCAGTGTTAGCCTGCCCACACCCGCCTACAGAGTGCACAGGGTCAGTTTGGCCACATGGGCTTCAGCAGTGCCCTCGCTTTGGGCGTGCCCCCTCCTGAGTGTGTGACCCCCTCTTATGTTTACCTTCTCTCCTCCACAGAGGTAAGCGCTGTACTTACTACTGTGTTTTTACATGTGTGTAGCTATAGGTATATGTGTAGGTGAACATGTACACGTATATCCAGAAGCAATATAGTGTATTTGTTTTATAAATGGACATCAGTGGTAGAATATATTTATCGTTTTGCCACAGGATTGTTGCACTCAACATGACTTTCAAGACGGAGCCACTTTATTCACGCAGACCTAGTTCTTGCATTTTAATGCCATATGCTAAAACAGTTGTGGGAATCCCCACAATTTACCCATTCCCAGTATTTTGTGGAAGTGAACCTACTTACTAGAGTACTTACATGAATTTCTCTGGGGGTAAGTATATTGCAGATGCAACTTTGGAGTTTCAGGGTTTGAGTGTCTTCAACCTAACTTGATATTGCCTAACGGCTTTCCCAAGCGATCGCACTATTCTCTGCTCCTACCAACTCCTACCAGCGGTTTATGAGAGCTGTTTTTCCACAGCTCCAACAGCCTGGGTATTGTTAATGTTCAACCTCATTAGCAATCAGTGACATGTAAATTAACACAACAATGAAACATTGTGTCCATCAGAAAGCAATAGATTTCCTTCAGGATAATATCTAGTGTGGGCAAGGCAGAGAAGAAATGGGAGCACTTGTGCTGTCGGTGGGGATGTAATGGATCTCGGCCTTTCTGGAGAGCAGACTGTGGAGCTGCTTTCAGAGGACGTGGCGGCACATGTGCCCCTGCCCAGCCAAGATGCTGAGGTGGTGTGGAATTACTACTAAGCGGCAGCTACAAAGGGTGCTGGTACAGAAAAGCGACATACTGTTAGCTACAAAACAAAACCTTACAAAACCAAACTGTATATGCAAATGCATGAAAATATTGGAAGGCCCAGAATCTGGTGGCATTGGTGACCCATGGGGGGTGGGGGCAGGAATGGAGTGAGGAGGGGGGCTTTTTGATGTATTTCCCGAGAAATAATGTGTTTAGTTGTTTTTTTTCATTGTCAGTCCATTTTCAGGAATATTAATGAAATTAAAACATTTTCCTAGTTACAAAAAGGATTATTCACTTACCACAAATACAGAAACATGGGTGGAATCCACAGGCCTTTTTTTCCTGCAACTGGTCAAGTCGATATTTATAACTTCACCACCCTCCCCCGCCCCCCAGCTATTCTGCACTCTTGGCCTTCAGCCAATACCTCAGCTGTCATGGGGACTCAGAAGTCTGTGACCTTGGGGGCCCAGTTTGGGTGGGATTGTGGCTGCCCTAATATTAAACGTAGGGCCTGATTGGCACCCCATGAGGAAGTAGGTTAGTGCCATTGGGGCCCCGGTCATCTTCCTCCCTGCTCTGTGCATAGCAGCAGCCCCAATTCCCCCTAGTCACCATAAGCAAGGGACTCTTCCCCAGTCCTAGCAGCCCCCTGTGGTGTCTGAGAAGCCTGCTTCTGCAGGGGGTCATGCTGGAGGTGAACTCTTCAAGCAAGGGAGGCCCACAAGACCCAGACCTAGACCTCTGGGTCCTGAGTAGCTCAGAAGTGGGCCTGGGGGCAGAGCCTCATGTGCAATGCCTTCATTCTGGAGGGAGGGAGGGAGTCAAAGGAGCTGGGGGGAAGCATTTGTTCCTTGGACACTGTGGTGGTGGTGACGCAGTGCCCAGCCATGCTGAGGTAGCTCTGGCGGCCAGTAATGCCTGTGTAGGCTGTGGTTGTGTCTTAGGCTGCCCAGTTCCATAGTTCCTGCATTTCTGATTCTCCAGCTTCCCTGACAATCTCCCAAGAACTATCCCCCCGCCCCCCCCCCCATTTTCATTTAAACTGTTCTGTTTCAATTAACAGAGCTGGTTTCCATTGTTTGTAATGAAGAACCCTAACTGGCCTGCTTGCTGATACCTTAGCCCACTCTTATGCCTGTTTTCTTAGTCACATGAAATATCCCAAGTGGCCAAGTATCAGGTGAGTTCTCTTTACAAGGTGGCGGACCCATTCTTGCACCTGGAGCCATGGTTCTAGAACAGCTGGCCTCAGCCTTGAAGCAGTTATTTTTTTCTAGAATATCGTATTTCGCATATTCATTGAAGGTGCCACTGACATACCACCCATGTTGGGGTTCTGGACTTGCTTCCTCACTTTGCAATAAATAGGCTGTATGTGTGGTCACTGACTTGGAGAATATAGTGCTATTTCTTGCAAGATAGCACTCCAGTTTCCTGAGGTCATCACCCCACACTTGTAGGTAGGACAGCTGAACTGTTTGTTCTTAGTTCCCTCCTGGCTCTAAGGCCCCCAACTTTTCTTAACTGTCTGGTCCAGCTAGATCCATCTATGTTTTTACTTGGACCTCTGACCTGAAATGGCCTTTCCAGCCCAGTTGATTTTACCCAAAATCTAAGAATCTGGTCACATGCCCGCTCTGAGAATATTATCTTCTGATACCCCCTAGCTCCTCCCCTCCCTGTGCCCCATCTCTGTCAGTCATTGAGACCAGAATTTATCTGAGACTTGGTATGGGACAAGAAAATGCTCAGCAACACTTGCTAATAGAATAGATAAGTTCCTTTGAAAGGTAGGCCCAGGCAGGGGTTATGTTCAGAGAACCCATAAATAGTCATGGGAGAAAGGGGGTACCCTGGCTCAACCAAATGTGCCTGACCCAGCCTTAGTCCCACTCCTGCCCCCAGCCTCTGCAGGCCCCATGGACCCCTCTTCAACCCTTGACCCTCTGTCCCACTTTCTGCTGCTGAATCCCCAGTGTTTCAGAGGCCACTGTCAGGCCCAGAGTCTGTGGGTAGGAAGTTCTGCTCATCTCAAAGATAGAGACTATAGAGCAGCCTGTCTCAGCACACCCCTCTTGGGCCTGGGTTTAACACAACTGAGAAGACACTCTGTCCACTTTGGGCAAGGCCTGGCATTGAACAAGCTAGGTGCTGGGGTCCTCGAGCCGTGCTCTCAGCCTGCCTTGGCATTCTCTCTGCAGGTAGGCCTTTGTGCCAGGTACACTGTTGCCTATTTCTGCCAACACCTGAAGGCTTCTCATCCTGTTTCCTTCCTTGGGACATCACTGCCCCAAAGAGGGCAGTAAAACATTAGGGAGGTTTCATCAGCCCTCACATTTGGATAAGATTTCCTCAGATTCCCTTCATGTTTGGTGATGTCACTAGAACCTCCTATCCACGTACCAGAAGGTGCACAATAAGAAAAACAAGGTTCAGACAGGTGGTGGAAGCTCTGAAGAGAGAGCAAGAGTCTGCTTTCAGGGGTGGGGGGGTAGAGGTATAGGCTGTCTTCTCCCCCACCTTTCCCAACCCCCATGTGATGAGGAGTGGATGGGGGTCGTCTTGGGCTGAAGGACCAGGTGCGAACAGCCTGCCCGCCCACCCCACAAGAGAGCATCAGGGGTTTGGGCAGAGGAAGAGGAGACATGATCCGTAGCATCATGGAAGGGCTTTTCCACCAGAGGTGGGGCCTGGGAGGTAGCAGCTACATATAGACACTTAGAGGAGTGTGGCTAGAGCTTGGCCTTGGAGGCAGTCTGAAGGAAGACTGGTACCAGGTACCAAACACAGGAGAACAAATCTCCAGCCACTCAAGAGAACCAAGACCAACGCTCAGCTCAGCCTGAACCAGGCTCAGGTACTGCAAATGCAGGCCTGGCCACTCAGTCCTTGGAGCCTTGGAGTCACTGCTGACTAATTTAGCTCAACAACTGCGTATTGATCTTCTACTGTAGTGTGTTGGACTGAGGCCTGAAAGAGCTGAATAAGGCTTAGTCCTTCCCTCACAGAGCTTATAGTCTAGTGCGGCAGACAGACTTGCCCAAAGATGATAGCAGGATACTCAAGACCACCTTGCGGTGACCTGGAAGCAGAGTCTGGCTGACTACAGGGGACAGGGACTGGTCCTTGCAAACGTCCAGGATGCAGCGGCCTCCAAAGCATAAAGCAGGAGGAGGCTTTAGCCAGGTGAAGTAAAGGAATGAAGGCAGGCCCTTTCCAGTATCAGTGGGAGTCCCAACTGGTTTGCTTGAAGGGCCCTTTTGCGAAATGTAGCGACATTTACAATCTGCTCTCTCACCCAGAAATTCCACCAGCAGGAATTTCTCCTACAACAGCAAAATCACAAGGCTGTTTGTACAAGGGTATTTATTGTTGCATTGTTTACAGTAGCAAGAGACTGGAAAACATTTCAATGTTCATCACTAAGAGCCTGGTTAAATAAATATGGCACAGCCTTCAGACACTTCACCAGACAGCCTTACCCAGCAGGAGGCAGAGGTGGAGCTTGCCTGTAAGAAGACCAAGAAGTTACAAAAACCAGACCTGAAAGAGTGGGTCCAGTACCATGCATGTTTCACAAGAGATACATGCCTAGCTGTAGTAGAAATGCCTCTGGAAAGATCCACAAGAAGCAGGTTCTAAAATCAGGGTGGG